CCATAAGGCTCCATTCACTGTAAACGTTCAGCTCAATGTCATTGGTTGCTAGAATGCTGGTGGCCTGTGTCCTAGCAACCATTGAAACTATGTGGCCAGTGACCAACAGTGTCTTAGCAATCAGTGACAGGTGCTTGGGGTTGGCGGCGGATGTGGCCTGCCTTTGTATGCCAACTTAGACGTGAACTTTATTACACCCAGTTTTGCTGTCTTCAAATTGGTGGCTGATTCATTTTAATTTGTCACATCCATAGGGACACCTTGTGAAAGTGGCATAAATACGAACTACCCGAATCTGTTGCACATGTCAGAACTGTTAAAAGAACTATAGCAAGGCTTTCATGTATTAGATGCAGGACTTTCCTGTTGCGCCAATAGTTTTTATGTCCTTTAAACATTCAATCAGATGCAGATATTTAAACATTTCCTGAACATCAAAATATTAAAGGTGATCTTAGAGAAAATAATACTCCTTTAAAGAAAGATAAAGCTAGCACTTTCATGCCATGCCTGAAAAACCTAAATGAATTGCTACCAACTGTCTTAAATTGCATTTACTTAGCATTTTCCCTAACCCTATCATTAAATATTTTACAGGCTGTATGTGAAAACACTAGGGCAATTCCTATGTATTAAAGTGGACCTTTCCTTTCCTGCAGCATGTAATTTTACAATAATCTTCTTCCTTGGATCAGCTGACAGCTTCCCATGCTTTTCCAACACCATTTTTATGCTGATGACACACAAATCTCTCTCTACTCCTCAGCTCACCACATCAGTTTCCGCATGTATCACTAATTTACTAACAGACATATCAGACTGGATGTCACACCACTTCCTAAAACTCAATCTATCCAAAACTGAGCTCATAATATTTCCTCCCGCACATGCCTCTTCCCCTGATTTCTCGGTCAGGATCAATAGCACCACTATCAACCCATCCCCGCAAGCCAGGCTGCTAGGGGTAACCCTAAATTCTGAACTATCCTTTCAGACCACATCCAATCCCTGTCCAAATCATGCCACCTCAACCTCCGCAACATCTCCAGAATACACCCCCTTTTACCCAATGATACCACAGAGCTTCTAATTGATAATTAAAGAATCTGCTTGCGCTCCTATGTAAAATACAATTGGTAAACGTGTGAAGCTGCTAACATCTGATCCAATACCCCAAGATCAAAACAATGCAGAAGAAATACAAATGATGTAGCGCTAAAACACCCAGTAAAAGCGTCAGTGCCTTAGGACATGCAGCATGATGTTAAAATCCTATATGAACATAATACATATATGTGCGTGATGATACTGACAAAATGGAAAACAGATGTGTAACCCCTACACACAGTGCACATATATGAATATAAAGTCCAGTGATCCTGTATCAATATTTGCACTCAAACAGAGTCCTTGGACTGTATGTGGGCCCGCACACCACCACGTGCAATCCGAAATCAGCTGAAGTGGCCTCTCACCTCCTCCTGCGACCCTGCAGGGCCACAGAGCTTTATCAGATCCCCACTGAGTCAAGGTATGCTTCTTCTTGAGTGGATGGTTGGTATATCCCCAGTATACAGCTTCCACCTCTCCTGTGGTATCCTCCGAGGTGAGCTGAGCAGCCACTGTGTGTAGGGGTTACACATCTGTTTTCCATTTTGTCAGTATCATCACGCACATATATGTATTATGTTCATATAGGATTTTAACATCATGCTGCATGTCCTAAGGCACTGACGCTTTTACTGGGTGTTTTAGCGCTACATCATTTGTATTTCTACCACAGAGCTTCTAATTCACTCATTGGTTATCTCTCGCCTCGAATACTGCAACTTCCTCCTCATTGGCTTACCTTTACATAGGCTATCCCCCCTCCAGTCCATCAGGAATACTGCTGCCAGACTCATCCACCTTACCAACCATTAAGTGTCTGCTACCCCTCTCTGCCAGTCCCTCCACTGGCTTCCACTCGCACAACGAATACAATTCAAAATACTGACAACAACTTACAAAGCCATCCACAACTATGCCCCCAGCTACATCACCAACCTGGTCTCAAAATATCAACCAAACTGCTCTCTTCGATCTTCCCAAGACCTTCTGCTCTCTAGTTCCCTTGTCACCTCCTCCCATGCTCACCTCCAGGACTTCTCCCGAGCTTCTCCATCCTATGGAACTCCCTAACCCAATCTGTCCGACTATCTCCTAATCTATCCACCTTTAGACAATCCCTGAAAACCCTTCTCTTTAAAGAAGCCAATCCTGCTTATAATTAGTAAACTGCCTTTTATTTCCTCCATCAGCTCATCCCCCACAGCTATTACCTTTTGTATCACTCAACCCTTCCTCCTAGATTGTAAGCTCTAACGAACAGGACCCTCTGTTTACTCTTGTACCAAATTGTATTGTAACTGTAATGTCTACCTTCATCTTGCAAAGTGCTGTGCAAACTGTTGGCGCTATATAAATCCTGTATAAATAATAATAATAATCTGCTCTATCAGTTACTGCAAATGCATTCATTCTTTCCTTGTAATGAGCAGTCCAAACAGACTAAACAGAAAAGGGACTGTTATTAAAACTTTTTCTGCTGACCAAAAGTGAGCAGCTATATATTCATCAATATTTGTGAACACCCCCTGACCATTGACATATACACAGGGCAGTAAGACATGACTGTCACAGGAAAGGCCGTAGTATATCTGGTGTGTGATTGAGAGGCTAGCTTTACCTTCTTTTGGCTGTGCAATAGACAAGATGGCAGCACCTAAGGGTACATTCACACTAGGTGAGCGTAGTCCCAACATGTAGACAAGGCAATTTGCTATGCTGACAATTAAGTCAGTTCACACCACAGGGAGAAACTCTGCCATCTTTGGTTTCTCATATTCTCCAGACATGAGGACCACCTCAAGAAATATGGAATGTCCAACCTTTCAAAGATTTTACTGTCATAGAAATATATTGAATAGTTCTTTACAACACAAATTTCACCTCCGCTCCTCCAAACCCAACATATATTGAAGATTGTAAGCTCCAAGGAGCAGGGTCCTGAACCCTGTATTGTTGTACTGACCAAACTGTTGGCGCTATATAAATCCTGTATAATAATAATATTCAGCACAGGGCAAGGATGTGGAACCCTACACCCAAAGGGTTCTCTTCCTAAGGCTACAGGCTTACATATTAGTATTCCAGGGGTAGCCTATTCCCATTACCCACTGCCCAATGCTCTACCAGCTCAAGATTATACAGGAAAGACTAGCTCCACCCAGTATATCTGCACAGGGGAGGTATTTCCCTAATAGGGGTATTAGGTCTGCTTACATGCAGTATGTTTTTCCCTGCAGCATGTTACAACACAGTACACTGTATTGCAACGCCGTTGTGGTGAGTAGAAATGAATGAAATGTTGCAGTGCAATGCACTATTTTAAGAGCATTGACACTGCTCCCTACATGGTGCACACCAGTGGCTGCTTTCTAATGCAGCTGATGGTGTGAATAAGCCTCAAGCATATTTGGGTATCTAGGTAAAGACTGTTGCACATTGACCATGCGCTGGTTAGTTGTTTATTAGCAGAAAAGTTCACCTTTTAGGGCTCTTTCACATGGGCGGTCAATGGGGGACAGTAAAAACAGGTGGCTGCCCCATGGATTTATTGCTGACTGGCAGCCTACCCATATTTTAAAATGACAACATGACAGTTCTTTACATATGCCACAATGCTTTGCTTCATGAGTGTGGCATTTTTTTTAACTCACCTATGGAGATGAATGGGGCCACTCTGCAATGGTTCGACAGTTGTGGTGCAGTCCCGTAATGGAAAACTGACATGCAACAATTAAAAAAAGTAAGTAACAAAAAAAAGAGGTGTTAGATCGCTTTTCAGAGGAGTGTAAACTTGCCATCTGTCTGAAAGAATCCTTACAGCAGTTTCTGGCAAAGGATTGTTTTTAACATCATATGGCAGCATTTAAAAAAAAAAAAAGTCTCTCATCATTGTTGTGTGCTAGATTGTTGGTTCCAATCCCTTGCATTCTACAACATTTATAATACAAATCCAGCCAGGATTGATGTGGAGCTGTAAATGCCCATTGATATTCTGCTCAGTAAATAATCACATTGTCAGATTCATATTCTTTTTTGTTTCGTATTTGGGAACACCTGTAGAAACCATTTTCAAGCAATTTCTTATTTCATGGGATTTTTGCGCAGAGTAAAAAAAAAACTCCCCCTGATGAGAGAATTCTTTATTCTTTTTAAAGTAGTGGAAAATGTGATTTCTTTGAGGAATTTCTAATGAAAAGGAAAATAGTGAGACGTTATAATCAGCCGCGTTGTGCATGCCATGACATATTGTGCTTATGTGTAACTGCTGGGAAGAAAAATGCAGCCTGTTTATCAAATTGAAGGATCATATTAAGTCCCATAGTTACTGTACCCAACAGACATAAGGGGAATGCCAAGAGGAATGCGTTTAAAACATTGCTGTGAGCGGTGGCGGAATACCAACTACATTTTCAAAGGTTTTGGAAGAGGGGGACACTGTAGTGAAGTATACACAGGATTTGGACACCTTTGTAAAGTATTCCACATTCCGACCAATAAAATATATTTTCCACACTTACAGACAGAGTCATAGTGGTAGAAAGCCAAGTAAATACTGGCATATTGTGACTTGATAATAAAGTTTTGTCAAAGGAAAGAAAGTTTGTATCGGCTCCATTATATTAGGAATAACAATTACATCAGATGTGTAGGAAAATAAAAGGGGTTTAATAAATGGAGTGTTTAATTGTAGGCATAACCGTGCTGGTAATCGGACAAAGTTACTGTCTGAAAGTTTCAAGATCTTAGCCTTCTCCCGCCAGTGTAGTGCATATATGCGGTAGCAGGATTTGTGGACTTAAAGTATACCTAAAGGCAAAACATTTATTTTAGTTTCAGATAGAGTAGACTGGAATCCTTGTCAGGTTTTATCACTTTTTCTGTGTTCCTGTGAAGGAGATTCATCATTTCTATTTGTCCTGTTTATCATTATCATTGAAAGTGAAAGTAAAAGAAAATCCCAAATTTTGGGTTGTCCCCAGAAAAGCAATAGAGGGAAAATCTTCCAATTGGGACTAGTTCTGGTGACCTGGGGGTCCCCAAGGGATTCCCTTAATTTTCAGGGATTTCCTCTCACTTCCTGTTTAGTTATGGGACGGGAATTGAGGGGAAATCTCTGCAATGGGACACAGATGGTGAAAAAAACTTGACAGAGGTTATAACCTTCCCTTACTCTATCCAAAATTAAAAAAGTGTTGTCAAGAGTTCTACTTTAAAGTGAAGTGACTAGCCTCAGGTGATACATAGAAATGAAACAAATCCTTCTATAAAAGTTTTAAAGATCTAGCTGCAGTCTCCTCTTCTCTACACCCATTCAAATTGCTTATCTGAGAGTTCAGAAAAAGGGGGCAAAGAGCTGAAGTTACACTCTGCAGAGCTCAGTGAGGAGAGCTCTGAGAGCTGATTGGAAGGAAGAGACACCCCCTCCCCCCTTCCACACAGCTCACAGGAATAGAGCTGAGGCTGTCAATCTGCAGGAGGTCCCTCCCCCCTGTCACCATTTTTCTCTTGGTGTCAGAAATTTTTTTTTAGAAGTGTTTCATGCTGATAGCAGAGGAATGAAGCAGCAGACAGAATTGACATTTAGTGGTTTTAATTGAGACAAGTACACACTATAGAGGGATATTCTTTGTTCATATATCATGTCTGAGGTATGCAACCAATTTAAATGCCCAGCAGCTAAAACACGTAAACACTTTCTGTGTATAGGACATTGCAGCTCCTGATGGATCTTTAGTAAAGATGATTTTAAGAGCATAGGACACAGTGTTGCTGACCTTCTTGTTTGGATGCTTTATTGACATCTTCCATTCTTTCTGTCCAGAAACCAGCAGGATGGGCTTCTAATCATGTGATCCCTGTTACAACCAATCAAAGCTATCACATGATGGGGAAGCCACCTCCACCTCCTAGCGTTAGTACGCACTTAAAGGGCTTCCAGGTGGCGGCATATGGGTAAGCAAATTGAAAGTGGAATGTAAGCTATATATAGTATAAATTGTAACCTCCCATAGTACAGGTCATATGGTCTCTGCCGAAGGGCAGGGCAGACGAAGCCACTTGTCTGCTACTACATAAAACTAGACATGTGCACCCAAGAAATTTTAGTTTAGTTTTGGATTCATTCGTTAATTGGTACTTTATATTTTTTATGTTGGACCAATTTGTGTTTGGAATTCGTTTGGTATCTTTGGCATTTGTTTCATGTATTCACTGGTCTGGGTAGATTCAAACAATTGAGCCATTTTTTTTATAAGATTACTATATATTAGTTTTCGGTTTTGATATTTTGGGTGGATTCGTTATTCATATATGGAAACTATTCAATATTTTTGGACACAACAGAATAAATATCAAAATTCTGCAGCCCCAATTTTTTCAAACCTAAGAATTGCATTAAACTGTGGAACTGAACTGGTTGACTGTGATAATTACAAATTCAATGTAAATCACAACTTTACTTAAATCTAAATTATCGAACAAATTTGAAAATTTAATTCATTTCCTCATAGGCCCAAACTACACTTACATCATGTGACATCATCCAAATGAAACTAATGAAACAAATGCATTTGGTAATTTTGTTATAACTTTTTTCAGATTCATTACTAGATTCCATTTGGAGATTTGCATACATCTCTAAAAATCTAATTTTCATTCTAAAATGGATTTGTTATGAAACAAAATGCACATGTCTACATAAAACCTTGGTCCTCAAACCCTGTCAGCAGAGACCACATGACTATTACTTAATCATTCGGTCCCTGAACAACAACCAGAAGGAGCCAAAGTGCTGATTTCTGCAGAAGTTACGATCTCAGAGTTTCTCTTACCGGCTATTACTTTCATGAGCCATGATTGACAGAATCGGTAAAGGATATAATTTGGGTATAGTTCTACACTAAAGTGCATTCTACATGTTTATCCCATTAAAAACACTACAAGTACAAAAAAATGTCTGATGATCTGCCAGAAGTTCAGTGTGCTCATAACTTCATGTTTGAGCTGTCAACACAATGCCATTGCTGAAATTTCAGCCAGCATTCTCAGCTCTGCCTGTTAAGTCCTGTTCACACCATGCATTCTGAAAGGTACCCCAGCACATGGACTAGTTTTGCAGCGCTTTATTTTTTTACAGTGCACAGCATCAGAACACTCAATAGTATGTTGCCCCACCTTGTGCTGCACTGCAATACTCCTCCAACAGCAGAATGAATTCAGAATGAATGGCACCACATCATATCAATGCATTTTGGTTCCACATGTTCAGCATACAGGGTACATTTGGGGACTCGCACTCGCCTGCATGTAATATTAGTACACCTTGGCTGTGTCCGTGCAGCCCTGTGTCCCAATAGAAATCAATGGGATGCCACCACAAAAACACCTGTGCACCCCTGTGCCAGGAAGACACGACCTGCACGAGGCCCGCAGTAAAGCGCCCTACGTAAATGGACCCTTACTGTGTTGCACATTTTGCCATGTTGCACATGGTGTAAACAGGCCTTTAGACTGTGCAACTCCTCCTATTCCCACTCTTCTCTGTCTCACTTCAAATGAATACATAGATTTCTTTCTCAGCAATACATTGCTGTCTTGACTGCCAAGACCCACTGTGTGTATGGAAAGGGTCCTTGGAAGGTGTAGTTCTGGAGACATGCCTATAAACTGAGCTCCCCTGGAAGAATTTTACAACCCTGATGATGAGGTTAGAAGGAGAAATAAGAACAGGTTCTTGCTCAGGACCAAAGTATAAGAAAGTACAATGCTGGGACATACTCTAGAGGGGAAGAAGGACATTTTGGAGTTAATTTGGGTAATGCCTTAACATACACTTTAAAGGAAACTTGGGAGGTGATAAACACATAGACTGCCATTGCTGACCACCTTCAGAAAATATTTGTTGCTGAATTTCTTACTTTCTAAGTCATTGACCTGGACCAGGTATGCTGCAAATGAAGTCAGAACTCCTTAATTGCATAGTCATCCCAGATGGGGTTTCCACGCTGGTTCTTGCACATTAAAGGGACAGAAGGTGAAGTAGATTGCAGGGCTAGTATCTGAATTGTCCATAGTGGGCTGAAGGTCACATAACTACACTAAATTATGATGTCACCTTCCCCTTGGTGCTGCATGGGGAATCACCCTTTACATTAGATTCCTCCTGAATCGCGGGGGCCCAATACAGTCTACATGACACCCCCCCCCTCCTTCCCCAGCTGCCGCTGCTGCCTGTATATAGAAGAAAAAGAGAGAAATGTATTGCTTCACATAAAACAACTTTTAATGTTGAAAAATCACCATATAAAAAAGTGCTCAAAAATGGACAGAGCCATAGTGTTCAACAAACAGTTTTGGGCTATTATGTTAACACCCTTCTTCAGAGATCAGAGCACATATTAACACATAGCATTTTTGTTTGAATTCTGGGACAATCCCATATTATACTAGATGAGTGGCAACACTAGTCCAAGGCCAACTGTCAACCAGGTCATTGTATCAGCAGGACAGGCCAGAAAAACAGCAGTTTTAGAATGATAGATCATCAGTTCTGGTCTCAAGAAGGGCGTTAACATAATAGCCCAAAACTGTTTGTTGAACACTATTATGTATGGCTTTGTCCATTTTTTTATCACATTTTTGTATGGTGATTTTTCAACATTAAAAGTTCTTTTATGTGCAGCAATCCTTTTTTCTATACTGTATATGGCCTTTGGGAGGGCCTGATTGCTATGCCCTGTGATTGATCATCGTTGTGCAGTTCACCTACAGTGGGGCAAAAAGTATTTAGTCAGCCACTAATTGTGCAAGTTCTCCCACTTAAAAAGATGAGAGAGGCCTGTAATTGTCATCATAGGTAGACCTCAACTATGAGAGACAAAATGAGAAAAAAAATCCAGACAATCACATTGGCTGATTTGGAAAGAATTTATTTGCAAATTATGGTGGAAAATAAGTATTTGGTCAATATCAAAAGTTCATCTCAATACTTTGTTATATATCCTTTGTTGGCAATGACAGAGGTCAAACGTTTCCTGTAAGTCTTCACAAGGTTGGCACACACTGTTGCTGGTATGTTGGCCCATTCCTTCATGCAGATCTCCTCTAGAGCAGTGATGTTTTGGGGCTGTTGCTGGGCAACACGGACTTTCAACTCCCTCCAAAGGTTTTCTATGGGGTTGAGATCTGGAGACTGGCTAGACCACTCCAGGACCTTGAAATGCTTCTTACGAAGCCACTCCTTCGTTGCCTTCGGCGGTATGTTTGGGATCATTGTCATGTTGGAAGACCCAGCCACGTTTCATCTTCAGTGCCCTTGCTGATGGAAGGAGGTTTGCACCCAAAATCTCACGATACGTGGCCCCATTCATTCTGTCCTGTACATGGATCAGTCGTCCTGGTCCCTTTGCAGAGAAACAGCCCCAAAGCATGATGTTGCCACCACCATGCTTCACAGTAGGTATGGTGTTCTTTGGATGCAACTCAGCATTCTCTCTGCTCCAAACACGACGAGTTGTGTTTCTACCAAACAGTTCTATTTTGGTTTCATCTGACCATATGACATTCTCCCAATCCTCTTCTGGATCATCCAAATGCTCTCTAGCAAACTTCAGACGGGCCCGGACATGTACTGGCGTAAGCAGGGGGACATGTCTGGCACTGCAGGATCTGAGTCCCTGGCGGCGTAGTGTGTTACTGATGGTAGCCTTTGTTACGTTGGTCCCAGCTCTCTGCAGGTCATTCACTAGGTCCCCCCGTGTGGTCCTGGGATTTTTGCTCACTGTTCTTGTGATCATTTTGACCCCACGGGGTGAGTTCTTGCGTGGAGCCCCAGATCGAGGGAGATTATCAGTGGTCTTGTATGTCTTCCATTTTCTAATTATTGCTCCCACAGTTGATTTGTTCACACCAAGCTGCTTGGCTATTGCAGATTCAGTCTTCCCAGCCTGGTGCAGGTCTACAATTTTTTTTCTGGTGTCCTTCGACAGCTCTTTGGTCTTCACCATAGTGGAGTTTGGAGTGTGACTGAGGTTGTGGACAGGTGTCTTTTATACTGATAACAAGTTCAAACAGGTGCCATTGATACAGGTAATGAGTGCAGGACAGAGGAGCCTCTTAAAGAAGAAGGTACAGATCTGTGAGAGCCAGAAATCTTGCTTGTTTGTAGGTGACCAAATATTTATTTTCCACCATAATTTGCAAATAAATTCTTTCCAAATCAGCCAATGTGATTGTCTAGATTTTCTTTCTCATTTTGTCTCTCATAGTTGAGGTCTACCTATGATGCCAATTACAGGCCTCTGTCATCTTTTTAAGTGGGAGAACTTGTACAATTGGTGGCTGACTAAATACTTTTTGCCCCACTGTATACCATTGCTTTATATATATCGGTATATATATATATATATATATATATATATATATATATATGACCCCAGTGTGTCTATTCATTCCATGAGTATCACACTGTGAAGTTACAGTTTTTTTTCTAGCATCCCCCCAGGGAGCACCCTTTCCCCCGATTACGTAAAAATTTGAAAATCGGTAATACAGTGTTAAGTGGCTACTGACACTTTTTAAATGCTGGTTACTGAACACAATGTGCTTTCCTGACCTTTGAGATTAGCTCAGTTTGTTATGAATTAACAAAATTCAAAGTCAAGCAGAGATTTTTGGCCTTGGGACTTGTGCTTTTGCACCCTGCAAATATATGAGCTTCCATTAGCTTAGCCACTAATTCTACTGTCCATTAAAGTGTATGTAAACGCTAATAATGAACTTCTCTTTTTATAAAATAAATGTGATAATGTGATCAACATCTATTATATCGCACTAATTGCAACCTAAATGTGTAGGAGCTGCCACTATTTATAAACCAAAAAACTTTTTAAAATAGAAAACACCAAATGAATAAATTGTTAAAAGTGGCGCTAAGTGAATTAATCAATAATAAGTACAAAACCATATAATAAAAATCACAAGAGTGCCCATGAAATTCAATAATAATGACAAATATGTGAAAAGTCCGTGATTTCTGTAAACAATTATTGCAAACTTAAAAGTGATGGAAAGTCTATGAAAAAAGTGTGGTACTTTTGGTGAGGTTACATCCATGTGGGGTATCCTATGGAGCACTTTGTTGTCAGTTTGCTGCACATGGTGAAATAGAAGATTTACTTTCATGGACTTTTGGATTACTTTACCACACTTTTTTCATGGACTTTCCATCACCTTTTAGTTTGCAATAATTTTTTACAGCAATCACAGACTTTTCACATATTTGTGTTATTATTATTGAATTTCATGGCCACTCTTGTGATTTTTATTGTATGGTTTTGTACGTATTATTGATTAATTCACTTAGCGCCACTTTTAACACTTTATTCATTTGGTGTTTTTTATTTTAAAATGAACTCCTCTTGTTTGCTCCCTTTTGGCCAGTTAGGTATACCATTAATTTATTATATCTGTTCAATAATTGCAAAAACATGCCTGTTGTCCCTTCTGGAAATTTAGCTTTTAGCTTCCTACGCACTCTGCCATTGCTGCATTGTTTTCA